TGTGGATCGTTGATTGTTTTACGGGTTCATTTTCTTTCCTTGCTGCTGCTTTTCCTTTGTTTTTTGTGATTTCCTTCTTTTTTTAAGGCAATTAGATGTTTTGATATAAAATATATGCAAGCACAGGTTAATAGTAATAGTTAGATAATTATAAAAAAACTGATGAATTTATATCATCAGTAATTATTTAATTAATAAATGAGAAAAAAATATTGATTTAAATCATTATTGGCTGGAAAAAAAAATACGTACTGCCCTCAATTGTTATGTTAAATATTTATGCTGTATGTATTATCAGTTTAGATGACCATCGCAGCAGATACGTATTGACCTTTACAGCTCTTACTCTTGACCAACGCCAACGTATACTGTACCAATAGAGATAATTAAATTTGCAGTGTGTTTGATATAAAACGTAACTATTACCGGTCGTGTTTTGGCCATGTGTTAAAAATACGTGTATGTCGACATGTGTCGTGCGATGCTAGTTTCACCGGCATTAATATTTGAACTTCTGGCATAACCTGTCCTGTATCCACAGTGAATATTACCGAAATCCAAATGCTGACATACTACATATTAATATGTAGTTGTCCAGAATCATCTCTACACGTAACATTATCCACATGTAAAATAATATGTTATTATAAATTTATTTACATAAAATAATTTTGCTATTCAATAAAAGTTATGTTGCCGTTGCTTACTGTTAACACCCTACTAAAACCGAATTCCTTGTTTATATTTTCCGTGACCACATTCCGGAGAATATAGGCCGAATCTTAATTTAAGAAATACGTAGTTATCATTTTTCCATATGGTATACAGTAGCATAGCGCACACGTACCTCCCAATCTGGTCGGTCATATACATAAGTCGTAATATCTCAAGGATTTGTATCATTCATGTAATAAGAATAATTCCACTTTGTAAAGGTGTTATGTTAATCGGGTTCTCGATACTATTATTAATAGGGATATTTAAATTTAGGTCAATATTATTAACATTAATTCCCGTGATAGACCCATTTAGATGAATTATTCGTAACGATAGAAAACTTCTACGCAAAGCTGATCATTGTTTAAGCTTGACTGACGACACGAACTAACACTGCTCCGACATAATAACGCTTAACGTCCGTTATTATAGGAGCTGCATTAAAGAAGTTTTTTTTTTTGTCCTTTATGTAGGTGAAGTTATTAGACAGCTGAAATATAATTGGTTCCGCAAGCAGGAAAACCAATATTTAGAACCTCCTAAAGTAAGATTATATTAAAGAAATTTTTGTCCTTATGAAAAGAAAGATTTGAATGACGCGCAAGGAATGAAATGGAAACTACTCCAATTTTTTTTTTTTTTAATAATCATGGCCGCAAAACAAGCTTTTTGAAATTTATCTCGCTCAGTAATCAACTATTTATTGATTAACCGCCAGCCTATTCAAAAGGTATCTTGACAATTTGTTTATGCGTGTATTTATTTATTTATTTACGTGCATACAACCGTATCTTTATTGACAAATATATGATCACACCATAACAAGATACGTATCGTGGTATAATCTTCCATCATACAATTACAGTGTAATACAGTACACATGTGGCATTTTTTATGATGTTTATACATACGATACTTTCATTTTACCGCCTACACAAATTACTGTTTTTTAATTTCTCACACACGCTTATGTTAAAATACGAACAAATACGTACGACTCACGGATCAGTAAACCGAATTTTCTACCTTATTTACCACTGTATATACATTAGAATAAGTAGACATTATGACGATAACTTTAAAAATATGTGCCTAGTGTATATTTTAATGTTGGTTTATTTCAAATAAGATACATCATGATATCGATAAAATCGTCATTCCCATTAAGTGAAGAAGGTATTAAAAACTAAACACCAAATTATACACAGACATCTTTATGAAGCCTTAATGAGATCAGCTTTGCTAATTTTTTTAAAAAAAATAAATTTATTGCTACCATCGTCTCATTTCTGGTTGAAGAAATATCGTATTTTCATCCGTGCTTTAAAAATTCCCTCCAGTCTTTGCCTTCTGCAACTGTCAAAACATTTTCTCTTGTAACTTTTCTAATAATTATTTGATAATACCGATCGAGAATTTCAATTTGCCATCTAAAGCATTTCAAGAAGGCATCTATTGCTATCGTAGGATTATTGTGCTCGTCTTTGTAGAAGTCCCATTGATAGTCATCAAGTATCATGATTCCACCTTCTTTCACTAAATTCCAGGACAAAACGGCATCAGATAAAACGTCACAGGCGATATGAGAACCATCGATATAAACAAAATCGAACATCATCTTCTTGCTTTGATTTAATTCAATTAAGGAGTCGTAGGATCTACCCTTGATGATTTCAATCTGTCTTTCTTTTCCCGTTTTTCTAACATTCTCATGAAATATTGGTTCATTGTCAATTTCCTTAAAAATTTTTTCGAATGTATCTATTGTTATCATCTTTGATAAAGGATTCTTGCATAATTCTTGTAAAATCCAAGTTGTTGATCGACCTTCGAAAGCTCCAATTTCTAATACATTTATTTCTTGATTGGCCAAGTGATATAAATGCTTTTCCCAGTAAGGAAGATGAGGCGCTAACCAGTCACTATGAAATTCAAAATTTTCCTCATTATTTTTAATCGTGGAATTCTCTTTCTCTTCCATGTTCCTCTTTATTCCTAAAAATGAATGCAACGAGATTAATTATTCTGTCGTATAAATATTGGTTCACACGATGCGATTACGTCAAGCACGGATCAATGAATGACTATGCTCGATAAAGACTTAGTAAGCCTGATAATAATGACGTAATGTGAAAAAAATTTTTTAGTGAAAAAACTATTACTTTTATAATTTTGAAAATCAGTTGCGTATTTAGAAATGTGATAAATTGGTGTGCTATACTCGTGACTCAGTACGTATTGCTATCGACAATTAGTTCAGAATTTCTTGGTCGAAAATTATATAGTAATATAACTAATATACTATTACAGTATTTATTTATTTTAAGAGTAACCTTTTAACCTTTTAAATAATAATACCAATTTCAAGTAATCATTCAAATATTAAATTTATAATTTTTTTCTATAAACAGAATAATTAACTACAAGCTAAATAACTGTATTTTAACAATAAAGGTGATTGATTTTTTTTAATCTGTAACAGGTCAACATGGCATGTATTATTGTATATATGCTAGATATTTACAAAATTTTATAATTTTACATGTTAATTTACCCATAATCAAAAATTTATTTTTCTAAATGTAATTTAAGAAATAATATTTTGTTTCTTTATAAATTTGAATAAATTCTTAATCAGTAAAATCATTGTCTACAAATCATTTCTATTGTCATAGGTCACATGTATGTTGCAATTCCTGTGTAATGGTCTAGAATCCAAAAACCTGAAAGTTTGACATAAAAAATTGAGTATCACAAAGTAAGAAACTATAAATTGAGACTTGAATACTGATAAAGGAACTATGTGTTTGACAAAATATGAAAAGTTTAGCAAAGTTTAAGATTAGTATAGCCTATTACAAAATAGATAGTCTATTGCTAATTAGAAAAATATAAATAGCTTATTTGTGTATGTCAAAAAGGCAATGCTGAATATGTTAAAAAAATAGATCTCATCGTGAATAAAAACAAGAGTTAGTAATATACAAAAGAAACAGAATGCAAATAAAGAGATACTTATTATTTCTGCCTTCCTTAAGTGTTCTTTATAGGAGGCATTCTCTTCTTTGTATTGGTTGTGAGTATTTGTTAGTCTTTTGGGTTATGCAAGGTGCTATAGATTAATGATGGACTAATTGAATTAGCCCACGACACTATAGATCATTTTAAATTCTACCTATGATTAAAAATCAAACTATTTGATCCTATAACAAACTAATTCTTTCATAATTTCTATATAGTCTTTTTTATTTTTTCTTTTATATCTTCTTGATTCAGATCTTCTATTAAAAATAGCATATGATTTTTATTATCTTGTATAGTTTGTATATTTGATTTATATCTGAATTATTTAATTCTTTTTTCTTTTACTCTAATGTTCAATTTCTTTTTTTATTTTATTACTTTATAGAGCAACTATTACATATTATTCTTTAAAATTCTTTTATAATTTTTAATAAAATCTATTGATTAAGTTTTATATGAATATTAAAGGAATCTTGAACTATTCTTTAAGGCAACTTTTAAGATTGTAATATTGTTCTTTTTTAAAATTTACAAATAATATTAAAAAAGCTTCTTTTAAATTTCTAAATCTTAACCAACTGGCTTTTTATCTAATTATCAATAAAATATATTATATAGTCACAAAATAATATCCAGATGTATTATTTTAAAAATAATTTATTTAAAAAAATAAATATTTATTTTAAAATAACACCTATAGATATATTCAAAATACAAAAAAAAAAAAAACTCTTTCCTACATATCCTTTTTTTAAAAAAAAATTTCTTTTTTTGGTAATTTTGAGAAAAAAGAAAGAAAGTAAACGGAAGAAATGAGTTCTCATCGAGAACCCAGAAAACAATACACCTTGGGGTGACCCAACTACAATGAAAATCTTTTGACAAAGAG